TATCCATTTCTCTACCCCCCCCCCCCCCCCCCCCCCCCCCATTATATTGGGAGTGATTCCGTGATGTGCCGACTTCGCAATGAACCCATGTGAAAACTATATCTGCGAGAAAGCACAGAAAGCGCTCTATGGGTACAGGGCGTTTCTTTGTAAAACACTGGAAGTCAGAATATTTAATGGCTCAAATGTGTCGAATTATTCCTGTGCGTGAGCGACCAAAGGTTTGGTCTGTAATTTATTGGAGTCTAGCTGTGTTGAATTCTTGAATTCGAACCACTTTTATCCTGGTCTCCAATCATCCGTATCGGTTCTTTATTCCTTCAGTTTTCATACATTTGATTTGTACCGTGTGAATTATCTCTTTTCAGATGGCCACGAAGTCCGCTGAAAATTATTTAGCGGACTTACGGCGGTCTGTGGAAGATAGGTCCAAGCGAACTTGCGGACCGCCGGCTTCTAAGTGGTATTCTCAGCTCTTCTATCCGATCCATGTGTGCTTCCAAAAGCAAGGATTTAATTCTATGTCTCAGACATGGGTGCATGTTGCCAAGGAAATCCTCCAGCTCGTCAGTAACTTCCTTGACGTTGGCGGACGAGAGCTGTTCTCTGTTTGCCGGTTCTGGCTTTCACTCTGCGGCCAAGAGATAAGAGCCTGTTGCGAAAACGTTGAAAACACGGTCACCACGCAGTTTGAAAATTGTTTGGAATTCGCTGGCGTTGTCATTCGAATAATGGTGAAGCTGAGTGGTCATGCTTCCAAGCCCGACGTCGCAGAATTATCGTCAAAAATTTTGATGATTTTGACTACTCAGAAAGCATCCCCGCAGGTCAGTTATTTCATTAAAACTATTAGCTTGAACGTTCATTTTGTGATTAATTCATCTGTTGTAGGCCGTTCTAAACTACGTGAAAGACATTCTTACGGCTTTTGGTGATGTCGAGCAAACTGAAGATCTTTCGCCATGGTTGAATTTGTTCGGTTCAGCCTTGGTCGCCATTGCATCTCCTTTACGATCTCATGAACACGTAGCCTGTGCCGTCGAAGCTGGTCGGAGGTTGGAGTTGCCTGAGGACATCGTGAAGTATGCCATATGCTTCGGTGACTTGATCGAAACTTTGCGCGGTACCCAGTGCAATGCAAGTGGGATCTATGACATTAAAGCTCTTTCGGCAAGCGTTCAAGCTTTGTTAGAAGATGAAGCGGTTGCAAAAGTTACGCGAACCTTGTTGCTTTGCTATCGATTCAAAATCAGTACAGTGGCCGATGAACTGCAAAGGTAAGCATGTGCAATTGTTGTTCCATTTCCACGTGAACACAGTTTTTTTTAAGTTTTTCTAAGCCTTTTCATTCATCAGCTGTCATCCGAGACATATTCAGAATATCTCTTTTCACTATCTCTTATTTTGAGGTCTTAACCCTCACATTGTCTTTATCCCAGGCTTACAACGGGAATTACAGTGCAAAGCAAAACATCACGGTTAGAAATTTGAATTTAAAGAGTTATGAAAATCCATTGAAAGGAAATTGAAAACCAGTGGAAGATCAAGCTCAGTGTTGCACGATGATAGGAATGCGGTTATTGAAAATTACGAGATATACTCGCGTTGTTCTTCCTTTCGCTTTTGACCGAAGAACGAACAACGAACACCCGAAAACAATAACTGCTGATTACTGTTTAAGTGGTGAAACCGTACAATTCTTCAGAATTGATTCTGCGATGAATTAAAGAACTATTACTGAATCTCACTGAGCAAAACGCCTTACAAAAAGGTGTTCCAGAGTTTTCATCATGTTCGTGACCGCTCAAATGCGCTTACACGTTAAACTATATCACGCAGACATTTTAAATCAAAATGACAGGAAATTTAGATTCTAAAATTGATGGAGAAGTCCGGATGCGTACTACTTGAAATGAGCGAGTTCTTTTTCTTGTTGGAAGTTGTGACCTCTGTTGAGATGGAAAGACCCGTTTATTATTCCGTTGTGATTCGTGCGGTTAAAATTCTATTGTTTTTCATTTTTTTGTGGTTATGCGCAGGGCGAAGAGCGCAGATTCGGGAGTGGCACATGGCAGTCTGCTTTTCGAAGTAATCACAAAGAAAAGCTTCATAGACTTGATCGAAACATTTCCTGTCATCCTCAGTCTGAGTTCGCGTATTTTGGCGATTGAAAATTTCAATTCACTGGAAGTATCATCCGACCCCGTCATTCTGCTAGGCGTGATTCAAGTTTGCACTTTGAATTTCTGGCTCAGTGCTTGCGCTCGAAGAGAGAAGCTCGAAGCGTGCTCAAACCAGAAATTGCTTGCCACTTCTGCGTTGGAAATCTGGAAAAATCTTTCTCAGCACGCGATGTTGTACGATTGTTGGCGAGGCCCTGGTGTGGATAACCAGAAAAAATTAAAGTGAGTCATTCCAAGCTTTCATGGTCTCGTTCGACGGTTTCTATCGTCTTATTGAATCCGTAAATCGATACCAGAAGAGAAAATTCAGTCATCATGAGTATTTCGTTTATATCACGTGTTGTATCGTTCACGCATGTTCGTTGAGTAAACGAAAGATCTCGCTCTGTATGACAGAAATCTCCGGAATTGAGAAAACCAGTTCGTATTCGGTAATGTGTGTCTTATTACTGTCAATGCCAGACTCATGTGCCATAACTTTTCACAGTATTTTTCCGTTTCATAAATGCACTGAGAGAAACGTTTTCCAAAGATTGCGTGATGCTGTTCCCCACAAGTTGAATCTTCACGTAATGGATATCTGGTACAAAATTTGGCTGCCACCGATTTTTTTTCTTCGGATGAAACTACAGCGTCAACGATGATTGTCGTTCAAAGAATTGTCGCAAAATTGCTGTGAATAATGTCATGATTACTTTCAGAGGCTGAACACATTTTCAATATTGCTGATTACTTCAAGGAGTTTTTTAAAATCTAATTTCTGTTTCATTTCATTTTGAGCACATATTTGTGTACTGTTGCGATTCAATTGAAAATTTATGATGGACATTTTCGAGGGAGCAGAAACGGATGAGCCATTCCTAATACATTATTGTAACCTCACATTACTGTACTCAGTTGAGGGACTTCACAAGAAAAAGTAGCCATTGCACAGAATAGCCTATCTGACGTTTCGAATTCCTTTCAGGTTTTTAGAAAGCACTTTGAAGAGGATTCGTGTGCTAGCGCACTATATCGGACAAACGCTTGCGGATTTGCAAGACTTCGCAAAATTATTCTCGCTTTTGCAAGACTTATGTTTCTGGTATTTCTTACCGACTGGGGAGAGCTCGAAGTCGCTTCAAACCGTGTTGAACGGAGATCCGGAATCATTAATGCGCACGGTTTTCATGAGCTTCGTGGGTTTGCTCAATTCAAAGCCTAGCAAAAAGGATATTGGATTAGGATTCCAACTGTTTTTCGAAGTATTGAAATTGTTCGTTTCGCAACGGAATGCGTCAGCCAGCTTTGGATCACGAAAATCGTTGAGCAAGTGTTTCGAATATCTCGCCAAAATTTGGTACAAACTCGTTCATGCAAGTGAAGCTGAAGCGTGTCTCAAGGAAATGCTAGTCAACAAGCCCGTGAGTTGACATATAAATAGTCTTGATTGATGGCCTCTTGATTGAAAGTTATTGTGCAGGAGGACGCAGTTTCCAGTTTGTCATGGCATGCTGACAGACTTGTTGGCTTGGACTCAGTTCTCCGAGAAATTTCATTCACCTGTTTCCTTAGTGACCTCGAGAACTGTATGACAAATAATTGGTGAGTTATCGGAAGCATCGACTTTTTTTTAAAGACAGACATCAGTATTGTTTGATTTTAGTTGGTGTATTCAATTCGGTTGTTTGACGGGATGCAGCATTGTACGCGTTCATATGCGTGACAATTACAGTATTATTTTGTTTGATTATGACATGAAGACTGGGTTTTCTCTTTAACTTCAATGGTCATAGTCCGATAGGATTCCTGAAGACGAGCTGCCGTGATATATACGTAATCTACAATCAATTACATTATAGTAGAATATCATCACAGTACTGTATAACGGATTTCGTATAACGAATTATTAATAACGAATTCGTTTTTTCAAATCCATGTGCAATAGCAACAATGTCATTCAAATCGCCTTGAAACGAATTCATCGTTATATCGAAGCATTTTCCCGATCCCACCAGCTTCGTTGTATCGATTTATTTACTGTATACGATTTTTATTTTTTTTACTTCCTAGTACAATTGCGCATATCTTATTGTGATTATTCGAGCAGTCGCAATGCCATTTCAATTCTGCATTGTTGCATCTACGTGTTCAAATAAATTCTGCGAGAATGACGTGAAAGGGTACACAATTTTTCCAAGAATGGGTTTTTGCAGTTCTCTGTCGAGCAATTTTGAAACTACCTGATGAATTCGCTACCAGTTGTGATACACTTCAGTTTGCCTTCTACCAAGGACCAAAAGCCAACATGAAATTTTGAATTTCCCGCCGCAGCGTATTTTTTCGGAAGCCTACGAGAAAAATTGATATTCTTTGACTGTTAATCCACTTTGAACATGATTTGCTCATGGTGTATTACTGTACTTCGCGCTGGCCAAAACGTTCAATTAAATTTTTAATGTTATTCCTTTGAATGCGACTTTTATATTAATGTTCATGTTTCAGGAGGAAGCAGTGGTGCCGGAAGGAGCTGCTGACCTTTGTTTTTGAAAGAGGAGCTTTGATGTCGAAGAACAACAGCGACTTGGTTGGCTACGGCACATTATCGGCCAGAACAGCTCAAGCGATTTTCTTCACTCCTGGAGACTTAGTGCTTCAAGGATTGCTGGAGAAAAACGTTGTTCCTGCTTTGAAGAAAGCTCTTCCACATTTGCTCAATTTTGCCTCCCCGAAATCGTTGAGTGTTTATGACAGTGAAGCCAGAAAGTTGGAGACAGAGTTGCGACTTACTGTGGCGGAGATTGAAGTTGCGTTATGGATGTCAGAGCAAGTAATGGCCATAAATAGAATCCGACAGGAAGTTGGTTGGAAAAACGCTCTGCATTTTGCATACGACTGTGATCTTGCGGAACATGGCGAGTAAGTTTTAGATGATTGTGTGATGAAATGGATAATCCGACGAAATGCCCCTGATCTTTTTCAAAGTGACTCGGATGAAATCGCAAACAAAATCACGTCGTGCTTGGCACTGCGTTACGGTCATCAACTTGACTCCGCCAAACATCTCGTCTCTGCCCTTGAGAACCTGAAGCTCTGTGACATCGAGGTACAATTTCAGTGGGTTTCCCCTTTTATTTTTATTTAACTTGTTTTCAACTTAGAAAACTAATGCGGATTCTCGTGCCATACATCTGCTCAAATTGCTCGCCTCGCTTTTCGGGATGTTCGGAATGTTGCGAGAGGAAACGGAGGCTCACGAATGGCTAGCCAAAATTTTCAAAGTTCATTCCGTGAATTCCTTTGAAGGTGAGGGAAAAATAACCCGTCTGAAATAAAGTCCGTTGATCTTCACATCTTTTTGACAGCGTCGATCATAAAAATGCAAACTAGTACCGACGGAAAATTTAATTGGGAGCCGATAGATGAGGAATTGCGTTCCGTGATGAATCGACAGGCAACAGAGGAAACGCCTTTTTTGAACTTCCTTACGTTCCGCGGCGAAACGATGAACTATCTCCTGAGGCAACCACATACAGTAAGATTTCTATTTTTCTGGAGAAAACAAATTATTTGCACATCACACTTCGTTTGGATTTCAGAAAACCACATTGTCTAATGTAGTGAAAGATACGCAACGGGTTGTGAAAAGTTGCAAGGCTTGGATTAATCCTCCCTCCGTAGCCCAGATGTTGTCGCTCGGGAAATTTCACATGGCGCTTGGCATGCGAGATGGGCACGATTCCGATTTGCCGAGTCGTGTCAAATTCCTGACGTTCGCCATGAAGAGCATGTTATCTGTCATTTATATCCCGGCAGCCAGTGAGTTATTCAGTTTTTAAGTTTATTTTATTTGAAGGAAATTTTCTGAAGTTCCAAGAATGGGAAGTAGTTGGCGAATTGACTGGTCGTGATGGAAAAAAGTTTCCCCGTATTGAATGTTGTTATTTGTGATAACTGAGTTTTCAGTCTCATGCTGAAGAGACGCTGTTCGTAACGGTGGACGTAAACTAAACGCAGTCCAAGACTCAATGCAGTTTTGTAATACTCTGTGGATGCTTTAGTTGACAGGCTTGGTTTTGGCGAAGAAAAAACCAAGATTGGGGGGTTTTGCAACCCCCACTAAGTCTTCTTCTGAAGACCAATGCCAAAAAGCTTGTTCATTGGATAGTAGAAAGCAAATTAAGTTTTTTCAACCGACGCGTCACATTGCAGATGAAACCTAACGTCAGTTTTCCGATCTTCTCTAAATTTTGTTGAAGGATTCAATTGAAAAGATCTTCGTTTGATCGTCAGTACAGTTCATTAAGTGTTGTAGGTTCACCTGAATTCCTTCTGAATGTTACTGACCATTTCTCTGTTGCAGGCGAACCTGGGCTGATCATGTATCTCACTGCGATAAAATGCTTCTACGATTGTCTTGAAGTGCTCATTTGTATTGGTCGGGATTTCCGGTTAAACAGGATCATGGACGCTTTTTGCCACATCGGTTGGTTGGTAGCTGTCAGTCTAGGATTAGCTTTCAGGTACGTTTGCATATGGCGCAATTTTCAGCTGGAGAACAAAAGCTTTACGATGAAAGCATCGTAGTACAGTATTATGAGTAATTGTTGGATGATTTATTTACAGGGGTATATCCACGATGATAAATGTAGCAGATGTGATGCGTCTTTCTGTGAGTACTATTCATGTTAGCCGGAAGCGGTTCATGGACGCGTATACGTCTTTGGTTGTGAATCATGAGAAGACGGATAAATCCGTAGCGGCCCCAAAAATTTTGGATGCGAAGAGTTTACCAAAGCCTGTCGCAGCTTCGAAGTACCCAGTGCGTATTATGCGCTCATAACTATCATTTCGTCTTTTGACAATTGTTTGTTCCTCGCCTTTTGAAAGGCATCAGCTGCGAAGAATCACTTGGTTGTGTCGAAGCGAGCCAAGGCAAACGAAAGAACTAGACTTGGTGGGTTAGATGAGCTTGTTCTGAATGCGTCTTTAGCGCATCCTGCAGTGTTGGTGGACGACGTCGACAGCATTTCATTTCATTTGAAGAACTTGGACGTTGAAGATGACGGGATGCGCTTGGATGGTCGGTTCTTCTTCTTTTTTTTTCGCGTACTCTTGAAAACGTTTCTGCACACATGCTGATTTCCTTTTGTTTTGTGAAGGCCAATTTTTGTTCTAAACCTTTTCGATGTGTTACTCAACGTAAAATCGGAATGATTTCGATGCAAGATTTCTCCGAGTCTGAGATTGATTTTTCTTTGCAATTTTACATTTTGTAGAAGCGGATTTTATGGTTTCGAGAGATCGACTGGACAATTTGGGGGAATGCGCCAAAACCTTTTTTCACCCAATGACGTGTGAATGCCGATCGTGTGGAATAGATATGATGGCTTTGGCCATGAAAACTGCGTTGCTTCGTATGCGATTAATGATTATCGGAAAGAATTTCAACAAAATTAAGGTGCGTCAGTAAGATAATTTTCTCGATGTTTCGGAGCTACATTGCTCGTTTTTATTTTGATATTCATTAGGAATGCATCGCGGACTTGAAGTTTGGCGAGCAGAAAATGTTGAAGTTGTGCGATGGTGATCTGAAGAACTTGAACGTTCCTGTAGCGATCACGATTAGCCTGACAACATCCTTGCTTACGATGCGACATGATTCATGGCGCTTTGAAAATCCGGATAAGCTCTTGTTTCCTGTAGACTCTTTGAAGGCGCTGGATTTTAAATTGTGGCCACCCGTGATATCCGAAGGTTTGCTGCTCGTGAATGCAAGCGCTGGTTTCATCGCTGCATTCGGAACGAAAATCTTTGCTTCCACACCTGCGCCTGATCAAATCCGAGGTGATTTCAGAGTTTGATCGTTGCTTCATGTGTTAAACTAGCTGAATTGAGTTTCATTTTGGATATTACTCCTGCGAATTTGAAAATCAGGCGTTTGCTTTCGGTAATTTTTTTATTTATTCCTGTTGTATTTGGGTATGTCCTGTCGGAAAATAGTCTGGTATCTCAATCAAGTTTTCGTATTTCGGTAAGGGGAGCGATATTCTTCCCTTCGTGAAATGATTAAATTAGTCAAAAGCAAAAATGGTTATTGATCTTCGCTCTTTTGTGGGATTGCTCGTTTGATGCCGCTTTCTCGAAACTTCCTATTCTGATGTGAAGCCTCTCAGAACGTCTCATTAGGGATTCTATATTGTATTCCTCCGATTAGTAATGGGACGTTGGCCGCCTGAGAAAGTGGTCCCGGAACCGATAGCGTCAGTAAAAACTCCGGAGGATCGTAAGGCTACAAATTCGACGTGGAAGTCCCGGAACCATGCTTCGCGCAAGGAAGCCGTTCCTCCAGCCCCCGCTAAACGGCGATTATTGAAAAATCAGACATGCAAGTCGGATCTTAGTAAATCTTCGTCCGCGTCTGCGTGTGTGTTCTCAAGTCCTCTGTCGGCAACCTCAGGGCATCTATTGGCATCAAGTACGAAAACGTACGCGAGGCCACCGGGAAGAAATGCTGGGTTCACCAGTAGTAGAAGTCCTCTTGAATCAGGTATTCTCAGTGTATCAATTCTAGTGATCGTTCCTTTTTCTTATTCGCAAGTTCTATGCAGATGAAAATTTGGAACAGAAGAGCGATAATGTCGTCGTGAAGTCCAAGCTGAAAGTGGATCAACAGTCACGACTGGATTTCCCACTGCAGAATAACAGCGATGTTTTGAATGTTGGCAAAAGCTCAGAAGATACTGTTCTCGTTGCGAAAACTCCGTCGCCGCCGTGTTCCGCCCGCAAGTTGAGACCTCGATTGAAACCGAACAAATCGTGATGAAGCCAATAAAAAAAAAAACTTTATGAAGAAACATATCCACTGGTCATGTACGCCGGTGCAATTTTTCTATAGAGATTCATTATTTTGTTTCCCCGCGAGACCTCATGATTGCGATCTTCTTTTTGTGTATGGGTTTTTGCACGATGATAAATTTTCTTACCTTGAACTCGTTTTGGGTATTGCATTGGCATGTATTTAAGGTGATCTTGTAATCGTGATTCATTCCCAGGTTTTATTCATTATTTGGTGGAACGTTTCGCGGACTCGGTAGAAATTATAAAACGTTCGGAAATGCCTGCAGAAAATTTGGAAGAAGAGGGACTTCAGAAGAATCCGAATTTGGATTTGGCGCAGCTCAAGTTTCTATTGAGTCTTCCTTCACACAAAGATGACGAAGGGCTTAGAACAAGGTTGATGGATGCCATCAAGTCCAACGGTTAGTCTATTTCGCTTAAAAGTGATCGTCCGCGTGACTTTTGTGCTCCTGATTGTTGTACCATCTTCATTCGATCGGAAATCTGTATAATTTATTCTTCCTCCGTCAATTTTGTGTAGATATGGCTCCATTTTACAAAGAAGTTTGCACTGATCTTGGATGGCCTTTGGATGAGGCCTTGTTAACGCAAATGAAAGCCAAAAATGCCGCTAAGCTGAAAGAACTTGACGAAGCTGCTGAGGACGCTGAAAAGAATGCTGGTGAGACGGAAGTTCGCGACGCTTATCAACTGAAGGCAGAATATCTCTGTCGAATTGGAGCCAAGGTGAGTTCTGCATACTCGCTAAATGAAAAGTTTATATTGCTTTAAATGTAAACTATTTATTTAAAGTTTATGTAGTATGTGTCAGATTTTTTCTGTCCTTTGTTCCAAATTTACTCTTATTTTCAATGCATGTAAAAAAAATTTGTTTTTTATTTTGTTGATTGAATGCTCACAGGAGGAGTCGCTTTCCGCATTTCGTAAGGCGTTGGACAAGACGGTGGCACTTGGACACCGTCTTGACCTGATTTTTCACCTCATCCGGATTGGATTGTTTTACATGGACCACAAACTTATCGTGAAGAGCATTGAAAAAGCCAAGAGGTACAGCATTGCATTTTAATAACAAATGAAATAACGTCCGTAGCTTTTCAGTGAATGAGGAATTTTTTTTCAAGCGTAGTAGGAATCCGTCGTGGCAGTCGGAAAAATTGTGTAGTTTTTTAAATTTAATATACTAATGATTTCAAACTGCTCCTTTATTGCAGTTTGATCGAAGAAGGTGGGGACTGGGATAGGAGAAACCGACTCAAAGTCTACGAAGGGTTGTACTCCTTATCGGTGCGGAAGTTCAAACAAGCAGCGACGTTATTTCTGGACACAGTCTCTACATTCACCTCCTATGAACTTATGGACTATTCGACGTTCGTGGTTTACACAGTATACGTTACAATGCTCACGTTGCCGAGGAACGAAATGAGGGAAAAGGTGGGCTTTTAAAAAGTATATGATGTTCATTCCCTTAATTTTTGAAAATCCATTCCATGCAGGTTGTGCGAGGTGCTGAAATCCTGGAAGTGTTGCATAACCAAAGAGACGTGAAGGAATTTCTCATGTATCTCTATGATTGCAACTACGGGAAATTTTTCCTTCGTCTCGGTGAGTTATAAGCGCGACCAATATCTCATCATCGCATGGCCAGAAGTGTTGATAGTTTAGAAATATTTTTTCAAGTTCGGGGTTGAGGTTGTTGAGTGTGTTTTTGTTTATTGTAAGGGAAGTGTATTGTTTAATGTCCTATTTTCAATTTCCGTATTCTCTGCCGTCTTTTCAGCTGATGTTGAGACGATCATGAAGACCGATAGATTCTGGGCTCCTCATTATCGATTCTATGTGCGTGAAATGAGGATCTTGGCTTATGCACAACTTCTGGAATCTTATCGTTCGCTTACTTTGGCGTACATGGCAGAATCCTTCGGCGTGACTGTGGATTTTATTGACCGGTAAGTTCAAGTCGTATTTAACGCACTTGTTCGTTTTCGTTTTTAGGTTGAATGGGAGAAAGATACTGATAATTTATAGACGTGTCCTTTGTTCGTTGGAAAAGCGTGATTTCCTGTGCCTATCTTTTTTGTGCAAAATTCTTGTTGATCTTTGGAAAACAACTTAAGATTGAATTAGACTTATACTGCTTTCTCAGTTGTTTTTTTTCCCCCTTGCTCAAAGGTAAACTCGCTATCAGTAACGCACGTTCCGTTCAATGTTGAGTTTGAAAAAATCATAATTTGACTTATACTTCTAGGGAATTGTCGAGGTTCATCGCGGCTGGTCGTTTGCATTGCAAAATCGACCGAGTTGGAGGAATTGTTGAGACGAATCGCCCGGACTCGAAAAATTGGCAGTATCAGTCCACGATCAAGCAAGGGGATTTGTTGCTGAATCGCATCCAGAAACTTAGCCGCGTCATAAACATATAGTGATCTTTATTTTGGCTGCGTACATCTTTCCGTCGAAGCTAATTGCGTCGACTTTCATTGTACACTTCGTCCTGTGCAGGAGATCCCTTTGTCAATGATGTTTTTTCTTTTAATGTAATATCAGCTCGGAGCTGAGTTTCCGTCTAAATCATGCGTCGATTGTAGTCTAAGTGACCAAATTTTCCCTGGGTTTGACGGTATGTTCCAATTGGTCGAATTTGGTTGTACTGTACATAGTGTAAGCAGCTTCGTCCCGCAAATTTTGAATAGTGTTGGAATTTGTGAGCTCCTGTTGAATCTACCGCATCGTGATGATCTCGTAAATTATATTTTCAAGTTAACTCTTTCTTCCTGAGAGCTGTGACCGTCAATTCCCATGATGAAAATTGGTTACTATTCCGCCATTTCTGCGTCTCCTCAGTGGAGAAGCTACGAAAAATATCTAACCCTTATCATTTTGCAGATTTGTTCGAAGATATGAAAAGTGTAAAAGGTAAAGCTAAAAGTTCAAAGCCGACGTCGAAGAAACCATCCAACAAGAAAATCCGTGTCAAAAAGAATGCCTTGAATTCTGCGGTTAGAAAAGTATCCTCGGGACCGAAACCGTCCGCGGTCAGCAACCCGGCGTGTAGAGGGTGGTTTCTCAGACCGGTGAAATCATTCAATCGGTTCAAGCCAATTCCGGTGGAAGAACGATCCGAGAGGTTGCTTAGTGTCAGTTGGCAGAAACTCAAGTCTGCCCGGTTTCGACAGTTGAACGAATCTCTGTATTCCGTTTCTGGCGAAGAAGCGCAAGAGCTTTTCCTGTCGGATCCGAATGCGTTCGAGGCATATCACGAAGGATACAGGCAACAAGTTGCTGCTTGGCCAATTAATCCCCTTGATATCATTATCGAGCAAATCAAGGAACTGTGAGTCATTCGCAAAGGTTTTATTCTCATTTTTGGATCGATCTTGAATTATCCATATTTTCAAACGAGTGCCATGCGTCTCGAAGAGCATCAGTTCAAAAGAAGGATGTACCTGTGTTCACGCGTTTGCGAGACCTCTATTCCTGTACAGTAATAAAATCAATGTGTTTATTGGTTAGTTTCGTGAACAGATCGATGGGATATTGGTGGTTCGGGAAGAAAAAGAATTCAAATAATGCATTTTTCGTATGAACATAACGTAACTGAAGATTGTTTTTCTTTTCTGAACGACAAAAATTGTGAATTTCAGAAAGTTGAAGGAATCAAATTTGTCATGGTTGCTTCAATTTAGATCAATAAATTTCATGCTCACAATTTTATAATGATTTTATAGGTACAAGTTTTAATGGTTTATTGTTGATATTCAATTGCTGTATACGTTATTCAGTTAAAACTTGAGGGAACTAATTAATGTATCACATGAGTAAAATTTCGCTTTGCAGAATACATCCAGCTACAGATTGTGTTCGTGATGCAGGATCCCGCTGTACATGCACTGTCATTTTAATTTAACTTTTTGGTTCACCCTGTGCAATCAAGTTCTGACACTTGGTGAAGCAAGTTCTTGCATGCGCCTGCAAACCTTTTTTTTTTTTTCGTTCACGGGTATGAATAATTGAAGCACGTCTTAGAATCGGTGATGACTCACATACAAGTAAATGCGGTTTCTCCTCAACTTCAACAACTGACTCATGAAGTTGGGTGAAATATCTCTTTCGACCAAAACGTCATTTTTTTATTTTGCGTGCTTTAGGCCGAGGCATTCGAAGGTTGCCGATCTTGGATGCGGTGAAGGTAAACTCGCCTTGGCAGTTCCCCAAGAGGTTCATTCGTATGATTTGGTTGCGTGTGCGGGTCATGTTACCGCCTGTGATATCAAGAAAACTCCGTTGAAAGCCAAAGCAGTCGACGTTGCTGTATTCTGTTTATCCCTCATGGGAACTAATCTGAACGATTTCGTCATCGAGGCAAACCGGATATTGAAAGTCAAGTAAGGATGTTCTCGCTTTTTTCTAGCGTCAGTCATTTACATATTTATTTCTCAATTTTTCAAGGGGACTGTTGAAGATCGCGGACGTGGATAGTAGATTCATAGGGGAAAACGAGAAGACGAGCGAAAAAGGAATAAGCAGATTCTGCAAGGCATTGAGACAATTTGGATTTAAACTTCGGTCGAAGAACCTGGAGCACAATGTCTTCGTTTTCCTCGAGTTCAGGAAGTCTTTCAACGTTCTAGTTGGTGACACGTTGAAGACCAAGAAACCTTTTCCGGAGTTGAGCTTGAAACCGTGTGTTTACAAAAAACGATGATCCGCAAGAGAGAAAATTTTGTGTTTCATCGTGCTTTTCATAGATTCCTGAGAGAGTGGTTTTCGATTTTTTTTTTCGAATTTCCGATTCGACAGACTGGGAATATGCGTGCGCGATATGGATGGAAAGTTCTCACGCCGGTTCGCGCGATTGGGTTAATTTTTTTTGCGTTTTTCCTGACGGTTTCAGCTCTTTACTGGACGTTGACGTCAGACGAATCTAATGGTGGGTTGCAGTTCGAATTTGACGAGTTCTTCTGGGATTCCAAAGTTTCGTGACAAGCATGGCTGTGAATTCTTCGCATTTTGTTTTTGATGGTTTCATCAAAGGCCTGGTTATGTTTCAGTTTACCGGGCTGTCGACGGATTGTCTCCTGCGCTGAAGCGAGAACTTGAGCGTATGTGCTCATCAGGAAACAATGAGAAATATTCTCTGTGTCGTTCGGCGATTCGTCCAAGTCTTGACGAGCTTCCCATGATTTTCGCGATCACTCCGACGTATTCGAGATACGTTCAAAAGGCGGAATTGACGAGGTGAGGAAGGATAACTGGAAGTCTCTTAGACTGGGGATCAATGGTTATTGCAGTTGAAGTAGGCTGTGCCACACTTTCTTACATGTGCCGCGGTTCCATTGGATAGTTGTTGAAGACGCCGAGGAAAAAACTTCGTTGGTGACTCGATTCCTGCAGAAATGCGGAGTGGCGTATACTCATTTGAATGTACCCACCGATCCGAGATTCAAAACACCCGAAGCCGTCGTAAGTATTTTTGTCTTGAGTTTGAAGCAATGTTATACAGTACATGTTCTAGAGTTTCCGAGAATGCACTGATTAATTTCAAGGTCTGCTAACTTTTGCCCGTCCTGTTACGAATGCCTAATGTGAATATGACTAAAAAGTATAAAATTGGATTCCCATTTTTGACCGCGAAATGGAGAGACGGCGGAAACTTCAGAATGTATTCTATTTACGTGGGAACTAACGTGGAAGCGCTGAATCTTGTATGAATTTCGTGCATCAGATACAGTTCTGTATTACAAAAGCAAATTTTTATGATGCGCCAACGGCCAGATCTAAAAACAGTCCGCTATTGAAAAAGTGTTGATATTGGTGCGGCTTTTTCCTTATCGATGCCGAGTACAGCGGAAGCTCTAAAGTTTAACTTCCGAGCGGAAGTAAAAAGTTTCTACTGTTTTAGTTGAACGGAATTCCTCCAGAATCAAGTTGGTGTTTTGTTTTGGCCCCGTATTTTGGCGGGTTTCTTCTCAGAAGTGAGGATATTCTCAGAATTTTCAGGCAGATCTCAATTGGCAGCGTTGTTTTTATTCATGTACTGTATTAAATGAAGTTAGAGAGGAATTGAGCCAAGTTGAAGTTCAGTTGATTAATTTGTTAATGTGGATTTCCTTGACCGAAAGCCCTCCTTATTCTTTCGTGTGTACTATAAACTTGTGAACCGGCTCGCATGCGATGATTATTCTTGAGTGAAAACAATCAATTGTCGTATGCTGTCCTGAAGGTACTGTATTTTCCTCTTTTGATAATCCTAGCGTGCTCGACTAAAACCTCCGCGAGGAGTGCGTCAAAGAAATGCTGGACTTCATTACCTTTCCGAGAAATTCACTGTTGAGAAATCGCCGGATGGAGTTGTATATTTTGCCGACGACGATAACACATACGACCTTCGACTATTTGATGAGGTTAGTACCATCCTTAAGTTAAACATGATGATTAGAGTTTGTAAATTTTTCCGTTTTAATCATATTATATTTTTCTTTTGCAGATGAGATCCATAAAGGGAGTCGGTGTTTGGCCGGTTGCATTAGTTGGTGGTCTTCTGGTGGAAAAACCTCTTGTTGGACTTGATGGCAGGATCAAAGGGTGGAATTCCGTGTGGAAACCTGAAAGACCGTTCCCCGTGGGTTTGTAAATTTATTTTCTGATTCCTATCGTAGCTCAACTGTATAATCTATCAGCTCAAGTAAGTACAATTTCTAGATACAGTAGTTTGTCTTGGCTTTTTAAACTTAGTCCGCCAAATTTGCGTGATTTGCCCGTAGTTCTTATATTTTTATTCGAAGCAAAACTCCGTAAAGATAGAAATAAGTCTCCATTATATTTTTTGCGGATGCGATTATTCAGTCGATCATGGGGAACCCAGCTAAATTCCGCTCGATTAATTGAATTGGAAAATTCCTGAATGATCTGTCTTAGATATGGCGGGATTCGCAGTGAATCTTCAACTGTTGTTGAAACATCCTGAGCTTCGATTCCGAGATGACGTCGAGGTTGGTTACTTGGAATCTTATATTCTGGAAACGCTGGAAATTCCGTATTGGGATATTGAAGTCAAAGCCAATAACGCCACGGAGGTGAGACTGTCGAATAGTTCTGTCCAAATTGCAAAAATTATATTTTCTTCGCATTTGTAGGTCTATGTCTGGCATACCAGGGCGGAAGAACCCAAGCTAAAAATGGAGCAGAAGCTGATGAAGCCTTCGAATAGCGGCATGGAAATCTGAAGCAATTGGCATTTCTATACTGAGTGGCTGTGACATTAAAATGAACCCAGCTTTGTACAAAGCTTGAAATATTTAATCCTTGTAGATTTCATTCGTTTTGTATTTATCACATTCTACAGTATTTTCTTGCGCTTTCTATTAGCTGTGATGCGAAACGATGCGGTTCCGCTTCAGCTCGCGGTTACATTGGCGGAGCTGAAAAGTTATGAAGATATAAAAGTTGAGGCCATTCCCGAAAAAGTTGGCCTTTTCATGAAACACGTGGAATACGAAATCAGAAGCAGAGTGAGTATGAACGATTATTTCTTTTTTGAAATGCGGTCCAAACTCGTTAAAGAATAAGTATTTCCGAATCAATTCAATTTTCGCGGGGTATTCGGTTGTAGAACTTGGATTCACTTGAAAATATTGTACTGGGTAAAGTATAGTTCTGTGTTAGTTCCAAAGTAATCAGACATCCGCAAGCTTCGGGTTGTGTTTTTTTTTTATGTTTACCTTGGTGTAATCATCGGGAGTAAGAAAAATTTCCGTTCGATGAATCAGGCGGATACAGTGAACAACTAGTTTTCTCACGAAAAGTTTCGAATTTCTTCATTGAATTGCCGGGAGCATTTTTAAAAATCTTCTTTTTTCAGCGTCAACGTGGAACTGTGAGACGGCGGTACAATGATTTTATCGTCCTTCACGAACTAATGCTGATCGCTTTTCCATATCGACTGATTCCGAATCTGCCGCCCAAACGAATAATCAATAATGGTGAGTGACTTATTATTGTGTTGCATTTATCTTATTGATGCGTTGCTGAGTTATTGTGGGACGTACTCGTGAAATACGCTCGTCTTTATTCTTGTCTTTTCTTCTTCTTCCATTCGTTTCAGGTGATGCGTCTTTTGTGGAAGAACGCCGTAAAGCGCTGAAACGGTGGCTTGAGATCGTCTGTCGTCATCCGGTTTTATGCGCAAATGACGTGTTGAGATTTTTTCTCACGTTTCAAGGTGCGGATGTACAAACTGCGATGAAAGATCAATTTTTACGAACGCCAGATGAATTCATGACGTCCCCGGTGGCCCTTCAAGCAAAGGTTTGTCTCGACTCGACTTCTCGGGCTTTTTATCATGTACGGTACATTTCGAAGTCTAAATACGATTTCTAATATTGTACCTTCATGCGAAGATCCGATTCCTCAACAAGCGCTTGGTTGCTTTCCAAAATTACAGGAATTGATGCCACCGGAGAGCCAAGCGGTGTATTCCGCTACTCGGGAGTACATTCGATGTATTAGTTTCTCTATGAAGAAATTCAAAAAAGTCTTGGAAAATTTGGCGCAGTATTCCAAAAAGTGAGTAAAACCGTTTTTCGGTAATCTCGTGTTATCAGATGCTTGTATTAGTCGATGATTCGTGTAGTTACGCTGCAGAAATCGTAGATCTCCAGCGAGCATTCGCGGACATAGGAGCGGTTTCTCCATCTGAAACGCCCGCCGTTCAGAGTGGGTTGTTGATGTGGTCGTACATCAAGTCCGGTTGTCGGAATCTGATGAAGTGAGTTTTTAATGCTTCTCTCCTCTGTGTTCATTTATGTTCAAAAACCGTATAGTCTTCCAAGCATGTGGAAAAAGAATAAGCTTATGGCGTTGAAGCCTGCGTAATTTTTATTTAAAATTTTTTAGTTTTCGTATTTCTTCCGCGATTTTTCATGTACAATGTGCGTCTGTATTTGTAGAGATATTGGTGTTCTGGAGGAAACGTCTCAAAATTTCTCAGAAGTCGAAGAGCTGAAAGTTCGTGACCAGATCCAGATTTTGGTTGACGTGCTTGAAGGACACGTGGAACTGTGTAACCGACATGAAAAGAACTTGTTACACGATCATCAAAGAGCGGTTCAAAAAATTATGGAAATGAAGAAACGTCATTTCAAGGGACTCGTTCAAGGCAAAGCTGCGGTACGTTTTGTCACGTGTGATCTGCGCTTTTTGTTGGGTGCTTCTTATTGAAATTTTTCTGTTATGGGACTCCCTAGTAAGCCTAGTTGGATTTTTTTAAATTTCCAAGGTCTTCCAATCCAGAAAAAAATCGATTTATTGGTTGTAAAGCTAGTGAAAATGGGGGTTTAATGCTAGAAACTCATATTGTTTAGTAGAGTAATTCGTTCTCCTTGACCAAGGCGTAAACTTGAAAGCAATTAGAATAATGCAACGTTTTAAATTAAATTGTAGGATCAAGGAGCGAGTAGGTTGGAAGCTCGAATATTAGAACAAGAATCTTTGCTGGCCAGTATGGAGTCTCGTTCGTACTTCTCGATCTTCTGCATCAACGAGGAAACGCAGTTGGTACACGCGTATATGGAGCTGATGTCAACGACGCTGGAATCTCTTATAAATGTGGAAATGCAGGGGCACAAAGACGTGAGTGCTGTATTGCCAATGCTCTTCCGTCCTGTTCCCATCCATCGAAGAATAATCACATGTGCGGTTCTTTATCAGTTGAAGTGCTGCATATACGAGTAGACTCTCTGTACAACGATTTTCACTTTATAACTCTTTTTTTTTCCTGTAGGATTTCTCTACCAATCCCATAAGTGTTCTCAACAACCCAGGGGTTTACCGGTCCCCTGAAATCTGTTCGAGAGAGTCCTGTATTCTACTTTGGCTTCAACGGGATGAAATTTTTGTTGTTCTGCTAGGCCTTCTGCCATACGTTGAGAGCCTACTACGAAGTAGGTCAAACGAAGGAAGACCGATTTTTGAGCCATGTTGTCTCCTGAACGATGGGAGTTTTGAAAAAGAAAACGAAATTAATTGAATCATTCGATCAACCCTAAAATTCTGTAGAAGTTTATGATCTAGCGGCTAGCTGCGCTAATGTGAGCACCATGGCAATTTTTTAGTTACCAATGATATTAACTTTCCAAAAACTTTTCGAAGTCGCGCTTTGATTATGACGAGAATCTGACTTGCAATATTCGTGAAGATTTTCAGGGAAGCGCTGATGCCCGTTCAGGAAGTGATCTATTCTCCAATCTATTTCTGCGTAGAAAGAATGATTGAAAGCTGATGAAATTTTAAAGGATACGTTTATATTTTAAAATTTTCGACCTACTGTTGTTCCAACCGTTCAAAAAATGTTTCATTGTATAAAAGCGGTAAGCTTTTTGTGTTCACCCTTTCAGTAGCTGTCTCTGCTTTTGGTTTCAATTGATGTGTGCCTATACAGTAGTTGTGGACTGAATCTGTCTGTTTATTGCTTTTCAGTTATCCGAAAAGTGGGAGAGACTAACGCCAGTGGTGAGTGGGTTGTTGCCCTCGATCGTGAAAATAGTTTTACCGTCGTCTGATCGACACACAACGGTCACAGTGGCGCAGCTTCATGCCGTGCCGGAAGCCCCTGTTGCCATATGTGCCATCACTGACATTGATGGGGCTAGTTCGGGAGTTAGGTTCCAAAAAAGTGACGTCCCAACTTCTTGACTTTCCAAGGTTTTCGGCAGTTGATAGCGGGTTATAAGATATTTTCTTTTGCTGTAGTTCTGTTTAAAATATGTATTCTAATTATTACTTTTTCGACGTTTAGTTGAATAGGTAAATCGTCTTAGCCATGCAACTGGTCAAGGCGTATAGCTTTCTGGAAACACTTCGTGGGCTTATTCTAATCCAAATGGCAATTTTGTTTTTTTAAGACGGGAAGTGTACCTTCTTGGAAGTATTTTTTTTAGCAGTACAGTACCTGTACTTATACTCTCAAAGTTTATACGCATCGTATTAGAACACGGTTCACCGAGAAAACTGTCTCGGTGAACCGTGTTATTGAAAATTTCTGACGTTTAATGCTTTGCTGTCGCTGCATTTCAGTCGAACCACTGTACTGTAAAGGTAATTTTATATTTCTGCAAATTCATGGCGTTTCATATTTGGTGTTTTTTTCTTTCCATGACGGAGGAAAAAACGTCATAGTTTTTATTATTGTGTGCGAAGGAAATGTAACGTTCTTCTGGATCGCGAAGGCTGTCACTTTTACGAGTACCTGATGAACGCGATCACTATTTTTATTGTACTTTTTTCGACGTAGATCCCATTTTAGTCAGAACTACAGTACTGGATCAATGCATTGGTGAATACGAGTAAAATCGTTGACGTTTTGTTTTGCTGCTTCGTGAAAGAAAGCGTGCGCGAGAAAATATTCGAAGGTATCTCAGGTGTGGAGAAAATATTTTAAATGGTGAATGGAGAAAATGATGGTGTTTCCGGGCTTTTCTGGAGAAGTACTTTACCAGCAATATTTCTTGAAGGTTTTCAGGTTTATTCTTCCAGGTGTTTGCCTGTGATATGCGAGGAAAGCAATTTTCTTGGAAGTTACAATGAACGAGTGATCAATACGTGCTCTGTCTCTCGAAAAATTTTTCGGATCTGATTGGAAATGCATACTACAGACTACTGTGTTTTCCTGGGAGATTAAAGTCGGTTTGGAAATAAATTATGTTTTGAGTTCTGTGGAGAAATCTAAAACGGATTGTGTAGTGGTTCTTTTTGATTCTCTGTTCGTGGTATTTTCATCTATTTCAGCGTTTCTAACCAAGGTGTGTTCTCAATATCACATTTTAGGTCTGTTTCCCGCTATGCTTTTTTTTCTCTTTGGGATAGTGTGTGTGTTCCTGCTTGGTGCGTTCACAGCTTTAATTTTGCAATGGCATTTCTTTTTGAATTATTTGATGAAGTTACCCTCTGTCCCTCCCTTCTCAAACGAAGAGTATGCTCGTCCACGAACAGCAAAGGTGAGAACTAAACAGTATTTCGCTGATGAATCGTATTTTAGTGTATGTTCCTGACGCTTACGGGTTCAAGTTAATCTTTCACGAGTTCACGCAGCAGTGCTCGCAAATTTTTTGTTTAATTTTGTTATATGAAACGTTGGGCTGGGATTGTCATGGTCTTGAATCGGCTTTTGAAGGAGCTGAAAACTTGAGAAGTTGGTTCTTTGTGCGAGATAGCATCAAATATTTTTCTGAACTTGAAAATAAGTATGTATGATGACGCCGTTAGAAATTCATGAGAATTTAGTGACTGTGCTATCGGACCAGTTCCTAATACGAGTACATTTTTACTGCTAGAATTGATCGATAATTCATTATTCGGTTCATCAAGAGGTCAAGGCATTAGTTGGCGGTCTTGGCAAAAAAAATTGTTTATCTATTTGTGCAATAGATCATCCGCGAAGAGATCAGGAAAGAGCAGCTGCCGTACCGTGAAACACATTTTGCTTTCAACTTGGTGCTTGATGCTGTCTTTAGTCAAGTTAGATTCACTCCGGGGGTCAGGTCTTGGCTACTGAGGAAAATCAATGTTGAGATTGATGAAATGCTGACCAAAACTACTGCTGGTCATCTCCTTACCAGTGTCAAAGTGAGACATTTTATTGGTTCATTCAATTTTCATAGCTAGTCGTACCGCGATGCGCCGAGTTAGATATTCAAGATGGATGATTCCCTGTGTCTTTACCCGAAGTATTCATTGTTGCTGCGTTTTTGAAACCGTCGTCTTCGCTTGCATGTTTCCTGCATTCCTCCTCTATTATCTTCCTATTTCCTCGTGTGCTGATTTCACTCGGACTCGTCCCTGGTTTTTATGACAATCCATCTGCAGTCGTTGAAAACAGTCCTCTTTTATTTTTGTTGGTAGACTAGTTCACGTTGCTTCTTTCCAACGCTTGTAAAGAATCGGGTCTGGGTTTTAAAATTCAGAATCTAATTTATTCGTGGTATTAACGGCAGATTCGAAGCTTGGACATCGGAAGAGAAATCCCGTATTTCTCAAATATTGATGTGGTACGGGTTGAACTCCATCCAGAATTCGGCCACGTGTCCAGTCTTGAATTGGCAATGGATATAGAATACAAAGGAGGCTTTCGACTTGCTACTGATGCGGATCTTGTTCTTGGGAAATGTGCAGCTTTGTGCGTCAAAGGTTCGTGCACTGCAGTTTTTCACTCGAGTACGAACAAGTTATGCATTATTTGTTAATTCCACTTTTCAGTTACTGAGCTGAGGGGAAGATTCAGGTTATTGCTCAACGAATTGCCGTATCCGCATTGGTCATTTTCTTTCCTGCAAGAACCTGTTATGAATTTCGACGTCGAGTCGCATTTTCAAGGGCGTCCATTGCCGCAAATCACCTCCCTAATTATAAATCAGGTATGAAGATTCTTTAGATCGTGTCTTTTAACTTGATTAATTATAAATGATATGCATCTTCAAGTTTCGGTCTCACACCTAAAATGCGAACTGTACTGTACTACAAAGTACTGTATTTACTAATGCAGGTAGTCTACTTGATGGATGTGCGCTCAAGTCCTTCCTCAAATGTTCGTAATTTACATTAGCTTGTGTAAATCGTTAAAGTACGGGGAACGGGTGAGATGGAAAAAGTTGAGAATCTCAAAATATCTTCTTGAGATACGAGCAGATGCTGACTACTGCGATTTTAAATTGCGGTTTTTCATCGATTAAATCGCACTAATAATGTGGCATTTTGAAATTATCGATTGCTTGCTGTATTTCTTGTCCTCTAAAGGGAACGACTCCGTTCTGTCATTATCCATGTTGAATGTGTATCCGTGTTTTCTCTCTTGTTTGACCCAGATTCGTCGCACTGTGCGGAAAAAGCATACTTATCCTTGCTTCAAGATGCGATACAAGCCGTTCTTTCCCGTCCCGGATCCTACCAATTTATTCGCGGGAGAAGTACTTGATCTGGAAGAGGATTTTGTTGGTGGTGAATTGTGCTCGACGGTGCTCGAGTTTTCAAAGCTCCCTTCTGTTTCCTCTGGCATGGAATTGTATTGCTGCATCGCTTTCGGTGAGAATCTCTCCATCACAAACTCCGTGGGAAAATTTTGTCTATTCGTAGATCTGTGATGTAAAATTGGGAACATCTGAGATTTATGACCGAAGTTTCTACTTTTTAGATAGGTGACGTGCGTGAAATTGAGAAAATGCCTGAGATCCAATTATCGACTGTTTTGTCTTCAATATTACCCTCGTTTGTACGAGAGTTGGATTATTTGAGAAAAATGTATTCCTGAACTCGCGAATCTAGAGATATTGTTCGCCATCCATACAGCTTGCTTGGGTTCAGAAAAAATTTCCCGGCCTTATTTTACTGCAACCAGACTGCAAGTGAAGCTGATGCTTGAATTTTTTCATTGATTCAAAATTTAATTTAATTGAAAAATATAAAATTTCAAAAGTTGATTATATTGCTGAAGAGTAATGAATTCCCGTCGAAGTATGAAAATTTTTTTTGCTGAAGACTCAGTGCTAGAAGAAATATTGCTCCCGTCATGCATGCCTGGAGCGATCGCAACATTTTTATAAATCTTTGTACCCGTATGTCTCATCCTTTCAACAGATGAAACCAACTGGATAGAGGCCTCTTACTATTATCAGAATATTGGCCGCAAGGGCGAAGCCAAGCGGTTCCACAAGCAATTGTCTTTTACCCGCACAAACGAACAACAGTGCTGGCCAGGATTTACCCTCGAAACATGTTTCTTGCCGGATCGGTACTCTGTAGGCGTATTGGTCTCGTCTGTGGAACCCGGATCCAGTGCTGCCGATGCTGGGCTCCAGGCTGGGGACGTGATATTGCGAATGAATGGTACTGCTGTGTGTCCGTATGGTCACGAGACTGCTCAAAGAAGTGCTGCGTTAGAAGAAAACATTATTATTGGAGTTGAAAGCGTTGTTCCGCCAGTTGTGGTTCGGGAAGAGGATGCAACTGCAGTGAAAGAGGTTTGCAACCAGTCGCCGATGGATTCTAGCAAGGTGTGTTGCGAAATTGGTCGGGATTTCGATGTAATGCCTGAAAATGGGCCGGTTTCATCTATGTTCAAGAAAATGATTTCCCTGTTCAGTTTGAAATGTTAAATTCGATTAAGAATTTTAGAGCAATCTGCGAATGGGTTGAAGACCTTCATCCCAGCGGGAATTTCATTCGATCGTCGCATTCGCGAAATCTTCTTTTCTTGAACCTCGATGACCTTAAGTCCTAAACCATCAAAAATTGGCGAAGTCTTCTTCACGCCTGATCCTGAATCAATCAAGAATTAGAGAAATAATCTAATCTAATCGATACTTGGCGTAAAATAAATTACTGTGACTCCATACAGTTGAGCCTCAATAGTTCTAAACTTCCTAAGTTGAATACCTTCAAGTTGTTTCTAGCCCATATCTGAATACCCTTAGAAACAGTGCATTGAAAAATCTCCCTAACGCAAAGGCCTTCACCCTCACACCTCCATAACTCGAATTTTTCTGGAGGTCTTTTGATTGTTATTCTATTGAAACAGGTAAAAGGAAAAAGAAATACAAATGTACCTTTATGTGTTCTGACGGGAAGTGAAGGACTATTTGGGCAAATGAACCCTTGCCTCAAAGTTCAGCATCCTTTCAACTCATTTCGGAAGCAATTTAAGACCAAAAATATCACCAAGTAAATTTTCCTCTAAGTCTTCTTTCTCTCCCACGACAAAAATGTCTATCTCTCTAACTCGAATCTCAACCTAACTTGAATTTGTTTGCTGGTCTGTTGAAGTTCGACGTAGAGAGGTTCGACTGTATTACTGAACATATCCTAATTTATCCAACCAAATTAGCAAAAATAAGATGCAGGTGACGTGCGTGCCATAACAAATTCTACTGTAAGGCTGAGATCGTCGAGCGTTGAAGAACTCGTAAGTGACCAATGCCGAGGAAGAGGTATAGCATTCCGAAAATTCTCGACGGCGTGTGTTGAAGCATCTTTGTTGCAAAAAGAACGGTATTAGTCAATTGATGTCGCAACGATTGGGCATGTACGGCGAACCCAAGTCGGAAGGTTGTTTCACTAATGGCGAAAAACTGCACCTTACTGCATTGATGCTCGATGTCTGAGTAGTGAGCTATATCCAGAGTAGAATTCATTTCTATTAGATTTGAAGTTCTATTTGTTACGAAGGAATATTTCTTGGGTAAGTGATGTGATCGTCGGCCGACATTGAATAGAAAAATCCTTTTAACAATGTTCTCTGTCAATTCAGGTGTTTCAGGAGGCGCAAGGAATCTCGTCGAGCAACAAACGAGCATCCATTCAGTCCTGCTCATCTTTGAAAAAGCAATTATTGGAAGATACACCGTACATGCTCAAAACTTGCTCCGTCCCGTCATCGAGTGAGCCTTACTTTAACGAGAAAATGTCCGTCACTCTGGAGCCGTGGCATTTGTGGATCAACGTTTCGTTGTGGACTCAACCGGAAGCGAAAGGTGGATCTTCAGACGGTCCCACCCTTCATGCAACCCCTGTAGCGGAAGATGCAGTGCCAGGAGCAGTTCTGTTGGCACATGCTAGCATCCCAGTTTCCTACATCATCAGCAACTGCTGTCAGTCAACCGGCGGTCATTTCATAGAACGATTTTACCTTAGGGCCCCGGACTCTAAAGCAGCAAAAGCGTAAGTGCTCTGCAATGAGTCTTGTTCATGATTCGAGATTTTTTTTTTTCGTGCGAATGAAGAACTTGAAGGTGTTTTTCTTGTGCATTCATCATTCGATACGACTTTACTAACACTTACGTACAGTATTTTACGCTTCGAAAGGTCATCTTTTCCAAGAAGTCCGACATCTGGGAAAGTGTAGGACTACAGTATTGTGATGAAGCAAGTAAAAAAGCATGCACCTTCCGCGCGTTCGACTATCTTTCTGAAGTCTTTAAAATGAGTCAACGTGAACCGAATGTGGAACGAGATCAATTTACGAATTCAAATCAAGCATAGCTGGAGCATTGAAGTTCAAGACGTCATAGAGGGTTTTTTTCTTACTCCGTGATGGCAAATCGAATTTGTAAAATACTGATTGGAAGGCAGATCTGGTGAACCCTTTAGAAAAGGTTATATTCAACATGTATATTCTCTCGGTACACGTCGCGCAGAATTCGTTCAGAATAAAATGAAAGCATATCAAGTAGTACATAGAGCACGTTCTCTCGAACTTCGATAAATCCTTCGACTTTTTCAAGATCACGTTCCTGGGTGGAACTTCATTTGACGCTTATGCAAGTGATTCTGTACGAGTGACGACCTGATAGAATTTTAATCCGAAATTCTGATGTTCTCTTCGATTCCAGCAAAGAACACAAGTACGGCAGCTTCTCAGGGTTTCATCCGCAGTGGTGTCATGGAGATGTCAGTTTGTCATTTTGTTACTCCTCACCACCTGAAGCACGGGGAAGAAAAGGCTCGGGTTCGGTGTCATCATCGACCTCTGGAAGCCCGAAACGTTCTGCGGGATCTCTGGCGAAACAAAAATTCGGTCCACAACATTCTTTCGTTAAGTTATCTCTTAGCAGTAGCAGCTTATGCGCAATTTGTGGAAAAAAGGTACGTTTACGAAATGATTCTTGAACGCATTTTTTTAAATTTTAGACAAAATTGGTCGAAAATATTTTCAGTCATGGTGGAAAAGCGGTTATGAATGTCAAGGCTGCTTGGCCACTTGCCACAGAAAGTGCCTGGCCAAGTATCGTGAACAAGACCCGGTTTGTCGTCTTGTGAGTCGTAAGTCGGCTCCTTCTGCGACCGACTCGACCGATGACAATGAGGACGCAGCGCTCCAGTCCGCAGCAATGTCTGCGAAAAATGTTCCCGAAATTGTTGCTACACCTGCAAGCGTGGAAGATGGTTCTAACCAAAGCACGCCAAGCGACGGAACGAATCGTTTGAGTCGATTTGGTTGGAGGAGGCGTAAACCGACTAATATCGAAGGTTCCGGCGACGAGGCGGCACATTTGCTACCAGGCTCTCAGAGTGAATCGTGTTCCTCGGTGAGTTGGGCCAGCGTTCGCCAAATCATGGTGAAACCACGTTTTGTAACAAGATACTTTTTTGGAGGATGCCTTTTTTTTTTAGTGTAAAATTGCATTTCTTGCTGGGAGTAAAGGAAAAGTAGTCCAGAGTTTGTTGAACTTCGTTCTACAGAAATTACTTATTGATTGTTCGACAATGCAGCGAGTCCCCGCATAACGAAGCTAATCTGTTCCAGGATGGAACGTTTTCCCTAAAGAATGCATGGTAAATTATTTATTTCGTTCCAGAAAATCTCCAGAAGACTAAAAAGTACTAAAATGTGTGTTTTCTTCATCATAAAGTAGTGAATTCAGAATTGATTGGTGTGAAATTGAAGTAATTCTGATACTTCATCATACATATCTGCATTTTATAAATTTTGAAGACGAGGATAAGCAAAACTAAGCTATTATTTTCTTACCGTATTTACTTCAATTGAAAAAAATCCAGTTTCAATCCGAAATTTGATGCAATTTTAGCGGTTTTTGGCCTACACATTTTGATATGGTAGTCGATTTTTTACCCTTGAAAAATGTTTCGAATTGCGAAATTTTCTTTGTATGAGTCTTTTGTTATAGTGGAACCCACTGTACGCGTATTTCGTAAAAGTTTCGCGCTGCTGACTATTATTGTTATTCCGCTACGACAGAGTCCTCGCCGTCGTCTCGGTCAGTTCATGTCAAAGTTCCACTCTGGTGCCTCGACTGGTAACGCCGGTTCCTCCCCGACGAGCGATAACACGAATTCGACGGTTCTGGCAGCGTTGAAGCGCATTGGATCTGCGCAAAGCCTAAATTTTCAGGTCAGCCCTGCTGGAAACACGTCTGGCGCACAACCCTCTATGAATCTCTCGGATGGTTCTCACCTTACCCCCGGTGGTGTTGCGTTAGCAACTTCTAGATCACTTCCGCCGAGTCCCAATAGATCACCTACTACGACGAAGAAGGTTGGTCCTTCTTAACATCTTATTTCCTCTCTGTAAGATTTGATTTTGCCATTGCTTTTTTTATGTGGTACAATAGCTCGCTAACTCAAAATTTTATTTTTGTGTGAAACTTACTTATGCGTTTATTGATTGGAAGTGTTATGGTTCTTGGATGTTTCACTGTAAATTGTTGATCCTTGTTTCACAACAATATGCAGTAGTTGTCACTTGCTCAAAAGTTAGTGTGAATTTTTCACTGACAGAGTCTCAGGTAGAAGTCTTTTGAGAGCTCTTGGTGTCACCAAATGTATGTAATTGATATACTGTGATGGCTGCTCCAGATTTGATTGACAGATGACAGCTAGGTAGATGTTTGGCAAAGTTGTAGACCTCACCCAAGGTGGCAAGGCTAAGCGCTTTACTGAAGACAGATGGTTAATACTCCTTGGTTGGCTGGAGACAGGGCAGTCTGGAATAACTGGCGCTGCTTCTGATTTGTTCAATTGATATTTATTGACAAACCAAATTGCCCACATATGCGCCGCAATATAGCAGCACATTCATAGTCAATAATGGTGGATAATATCCAAGAATAGTGGAGAATTACACGTCTCTGTGTAATACACCAAGAAATTATACATCAGATCAAAACATTCAAAGTTTCAAAAATCAGAATACAATTTTCAAATAATACAACAGCGAAGCAAGACACAACCAAGCACACTGACTGCCAAATCCAAAGTGAGCATGGCCTGCTCAAAAGAAAATACGAATTTTTCCCAGCACAGCTAATTTCCTGCAAAACCCAGAAAAACACCAGCTGCAGACCATCTGCAAAAGGGGGTAAGAGGCAGAAATTTGGCCTTCAAGACCCCACACTTCCCAGCATCTGTTCCTTGAAGGAACAATCTCTCAAATTACAGCAGAGGGAACACTCTTCCCTACAATTTGCAAGCTGTAAATTAATACCCCAGATGGGCAGTAAAATAATGTCCCGGTGAAGGGGAAAATAATCCTCCCAAAATCAGTTGCTATGCAGATTCAGATGTGCACATGTGTCCTAAAGAAAAGTGGCCTATAATAACAAATTTCGAATGGATTTTACCAAATTTTCTGAGACACATGAGCAGCTTCCAGCAGCTCCTGTTAATGGTTGAGCAAAACAAATATATAATTCAGCATGGCAGAATATGCATTTGGAAACTGCCATGCATCAAATAGTCTTTAGGTAGCTTATCTAAAAAACAAACAATGGTTGACCACCCATTGGCAACGCAAATAAGGGTCAGCCACTCATTGGCAACCAAAATAAGGGTCAATTACGCATTGGCAACCAAAATCATCATTGGGGAGTGGGGACTCATGGGCCACCAAAGTGAGCATTGGTGACTCATTGGCCTCCCAAGGAAGCATTGGTGACTCTGCCACCAAACTATACAATACAAGTACTGTAATACAAATGAGGCCTTACAGCCTTAGATTTTGTTACATGAGGCTGACTTTTCAGTCTGCCTGCTACAATCAGAGTTCCATAGGAACTCATAATATTGAATGTACATAATTTATATAATAAATCAAGAAATTACCTTGATTTTAATGAGGTGCATTTCTCGCAAGTAAGAATATTTTCATATTTTAAATCATTTGCCTTGGTCATTTTATTTTTCAATATTTGTAATGCAGCTTCCTTTTCTTTTCAGATGTTCCCCCAATGTTCAGCGGATCAGCTGTTCGATATTCCTCTGGAGTGGGAAACTGAAGAAGATCTTCAGCAGCTCGTTACAAGTATTCAGTCTTGGCCGAATCAACGAGATGATGTTGTCAACGAAATAAAATCGAGAGGATCATTGCTGTATGCCTCGCTTGCACCGAAAAAACGGCTCTCCGCTATAAGTCGGAAAGTGAGTCTTAATTGCTTCGAATTGAATATACTGTATTTGGCGATGGCGACAAAGGTCCTCACCTTCGAGAAATGCAGTTCTAAAATTTTCGAAGAATGTTCGCAATTTAATGATTGATGGCGATCAAAACTATGTTTTATGTTCTCCTTTCACGCTTTATATCGCAAAATTTGAAAAAGCTGATGGAAGATTATTACTATTTACCAGCTGGAAGCTCTTCAAGTTGCCGTCGATGAAGCGTCTGAAAGGAGGAATTCGTTGGCAAACGAAGAACGAGAGACCCTGAATGCGTCTATGAAAACGCATGGTGCGGAACAGCAATCTTCTGTTACTTCGGACGTTGCGGTTTCTATCGCCGAAAAAGACGCAGAAATCCAAGCGTATGCTTTGTTGCTTTTACACTATTGTGCCGGGTTGCAGAAGGCCCGGAAAGACGTGGATCTGGAAGACGACGACGACGATGACGATGATGAACCTATTCCAAATCAAGTTTTTTGAATGTTCTTGGCGGTGACCAAAAGGGTGAGGCAATTTTTGCATGGGACTTTTGAAGATGATCAAATCTTTCCGCAAATTGAGAACGCGTTTATGGGGAACGAACATTCATGAAACACGCGTAAGGTTCAGAGTATTTCTCGAGTTTTTCAGAAAGCGTTTAGATGACTTCGTATATTTCTCATCATGAAAGGATCTAAAAAAAAAATGTTCTGTCGATAGTACCCAGAATAGCCTTAACTGTTCGTTTCGATTTCGCAGTAGCTGTTGGAAACAAATTTGCGTGTTGAAACTCAAACGTGAACGAGACAATTTTCAGAATTATTCAATTGAGAGGAATCCGCATTTTTGCGAAATAGTCAAGTTTCACTTAATTTCGAGAGAGGTAGCTCTAGCTTCTGTGAAAAATTTCATTTCATTTGATTCATAGCATTTGGATGTACAGTACTGTATTGTGTTTTACTCGTGGGGAAGTACTGGAAACTATAACAAGGTTTACTGCAGAAAGAAACTCGCACCTTTTTTCACTTCGTGGAAATCTAAATTTTTCATGGACGACTGAATCCTGAGCTGAGCGCCGCGCTATCATTTAATTTTCTGTAATCTTGCGGAAGAATTTTGAAAAAAAAAATCCAAGGGCTTGATAAAATATGCCATGTACCGTAATCTTCATATCCAGGATACATCGCAAAGCTTTGTTGCCGAGGCCTCTACTTTTTTTCGAAGCATATCTTCTTTTTATTTATCTGCAACGAAACCAAAGGAAGGACTTCGCAGAATATGAGTGCTTGAAATCAATTGTTCATGAATTACGCATTAGAATAAGTTGCTAGAAATCTCAGATTGTAGTGAGTTTTTCATGCTTTTTGACTAGAAATCACTAGTTGTGAAAAGTGAGTCGTTATTTGGTGCGTGTGATTCTCGGGAGTGTCTTTCAGCGTTTAGTGAACGCATCATTTTCAGATAGTTACAAAAGCTCCGCAAGTATTGATTCCAGTCAGACAGTTCAATGCAAAATGCATTGTTACGTAGAAGCTTAGTCATCGTAGGTTCGCTTACGCGTCGAGATTGCCCTAGAGGCCGAGCCCACGTTTTAACTACGTGTATGATAGATGCATTCCCCATTTATTTCAAGGATTCCGTTTTTGCAAGGTATTTTCTTGATTTTTCGGAGATGAAGACGATCGCGTCGGGTTTTAGCCTCGAGCTGTTCGAATGCGTATTCGAGTCTTTCTGTGATTATCATTTTCAGCAGAATTTTGATTCAGTTCTGTACTGAATTGTGATTATAATCGTGAGCAGAAAAAATTGAATCTGGACGACATGTAATTCATTCAGTTTGGTGGATAAATATGAAACATGGGAATTCTGAATCAGTTTTCTTTTTCCAGCAATTTGAACACATTTTCAAGGGATCGTGACCTATTGCAGCATTCGTGTGAATTTTTCTCCTCTAAAAACCTTGCTTCCAAACTGGATAGTTCTTGAATTTTATAAAGCAGACATGCATTCAACGCAGAATCTTGTGTTTTGACGAAGGGCATTTTCAGAATTCCCTTGTTTTAGTTTTACTTGCCAAGGGATTTCTCTTCGATCTTTTGCGATGAACGATTTCATCTGAGAATGATTTATTTCAAGGCTGAGTGAATTTCCGCGATGATCATTCCGATCCGGTGTTTCACCTGCGGAAAAGTGATTGGTAATAAGTGGGAAGCCTACTTGGGTCTCCTACAAGCAGAGTACACTGAAGGAGACGCGTTGGACTCGTTGGGTCTGAAGAGATACTGTTGTCGTCGTATGCTTTTGGGCCACGTGGATCTGATTGAGAAATTGCTCAATTACGCCCCGCTTGAAAAGTGATTTCTGTCCAGAAAGTTTCGGTTCACCGTTGTCCTTCAGTTCCATCAAATAAACAGTTTGTGTGCGCTATTCTTCTGCCTTCGTCATGGACGACATCACTGAGCCTTTCAATACGCCTGAACGAAATAAGGATTCTGGTTCAGAAAGTGTCGACAATGGTGGCGACGGAAGAGAGAAGAGCGGCAGGTTGCCACCTAATTTCTCAGGGTCGTTGGACGAACTGGTAATGCTTCGATTACCCCAGCCCTTGGGAGCTGGTGCCCCGGGGCATTCTGCGGATGAGCATCACCACCACGCGAAGCCTGCAAGGAAGATTTTGGAAGAGGAAGAGCGGGAGAAGATGCAGTAAGTTGATGGCGTATCTCGTTGGTGTTTTTAGTTTTCTTGAAATTGTGGAGGCAGTTGTTGCGACAAGTAGGACAGCCTTACTTATACAGTACTGTATCTTCCTTCAGTCGATTTTTTTCTGATCCCGTATTTTATGGATTAATTCAGGGTGTTGGTCTCAAACTTTACGGAGGAGCAGTTGGACCGGTATGAAATGTATCGTCGATCCGCATTTCCTAAAGCTGCCATCAGACGGGTATGTTTTTGAATGTGTTTTCTAATTCAGGGTAGTAAATTCCCCCGCCATTTTCATCGACGGCCGCCTTCACAGCCGCCACATTGGTACAACCACGTTGACACAGCCGCCACATTGGCGCCCGTGAAGGCGGCTGTTGATGAAAATGGCGGAATTACCTTGGAAGACCTGGAGGCAACCCTTGGAATTAATGCCAGGTTGATTTCAAAAATTTTGAGGGAAAAGCTGGGCTACAAAAAAAAACGGCAGGAAGGGCGCATCATCTATTAAGTGGAGAGCAAAACTCTGCCAGGGTGAATTTTGCAAAACATCAAAAATAATTGTCAAACAGGGCTGATTTTTTGTGTGCCAAAGAATATGTTTTTCCTACAGAATAATGTTTTTTCAGCTCGATTAGACGCCATTTTCATTTCCATTCCGAGAACTTTTGTTCGAACCCTCGTAGTATAGAAACTATAGACAAGGGGAATTTTTCGAGTACCTTCATTGTACAAACCCCATCCCAAACATACTCCGGCATTATCCGAGGTAACTAAAGGTCATTTTCAGTCAATGATGCTTGGGCTTATAATTTTAAGATGATTGCCAGTGGACTATGTAAGTATTGTAATCAATTGTGTTTCGAGTAAGCGTAATGGTTATGCAATTAACAAGATTGATTTTACTGATTTTTTTATTACGAGGAGGCGTTGTGTGGTGCCTTGAGTCATTGAATAATCATGATGCGTGGTTACAGTTGATGCAGTCGATGACGGGCAGCAACGTTTCACAGAATGCCGTAATTGCCATGTCTGGTCTCGCTAAGGTGTACGTTGGTGAGGTAATTGAAGAAGGTGAGGATCCGAGTTCGCTCCCATGTTATTTTTAGACGAAGTAATTGTATGACGGTTAGATATTGACTCTTGGAAAAAGTACAGTATTGTGAATTGATGAAGGCTGCTTCAAATTTAGGATTCTGGTGACCACAAGTTATGATGAAAAGTAAGAACAGAATATGAGGGATTGAACTGAAGTTCGCCGTTATATTTTGCCTGTGGTCGCTGATGCATTTCTCTCTTGGTCATTCAAGGATGTAGAATATTGTTGTTTTCACCAGAAGAATACTTAGATAAGGGAAATATTTTTACGAAGGTCTAACTTTTTTTTTTCTTTTTATAGTTTCAGCGCTCAAATAAATCTCTCTCGTGGCTACCTTTTTCTATTATACCCTGCGCATAACTGTTTGTTCTTCAATTGTTTGGTAATTTCGTATGCTCAAGTTTTAATTTCGTCGCGAAATTAATGATTCCGTTTCGTTTTGATGATCAGCCTTGGACGTGATGGAGCAATGGGGAGAAAGTGGACCACTGCAGCCTAAGCACTTGCGAGAATCCGTTCGCCGGTTGCGCCGACGTGGCATTGGTGGAACGAAAGCGACAGTACCCTTTTTTCGTTGAGAATCGTTATGCATCCGGAATGTCGACGTTAACTTCCATCTGTTTCTCCGTTTTGTATTGCTTTTCTCAAAGATTCCAGAAAATAAATGCAGAAAGTATTCGGCGTTCGGACGTGAAGCTCAGGTTCAATGATTATACTATTTTTGAATTCATGGTTGCTTGTTTTTTGTCTTCTTATTTAGGCATGGGATTGACCAAGCAATATTTGCGATTCATTCCGGGTCAAGTTTTAAATCTGATATGCCACTCAAGTGCTTCGAATTGCACATTCGTCAGTGTCGGGAAGAATGCGCAGTCGCGGTACATGGCTGTGGCCGCTGCCCAGAATGTGATCATCTGGGATTTGCTGACGCAAAATGAGGTATGGCAATTATCCGCAGTGGATTCTTCTCTTCGTCTTTCCGATTTTATATATAGAGTTCAATATAAACTTCACCGCGTGGTTCGACTCTTATTTTCAGGTGACCACTATTTATGGGGAAAATTCTGAGGTGACGCAGTTGTGCAACTGGAGGAATGATTTGAAGAATTATTTGTGCGTCGGATATAACGATGGGTCAATCAACATATATGACCTTTCTTCAGCAGAGAAAAATGCTGACGAGCTTTTTAGCATCGGTTCGCCGGTATTATTCAAAGGACATCGATCCGGCATTACTTCCTTTCTGTTCGACGACGACGGGCTGATTTTGGTTTCTGGTGGAAAGGTCGGTTCCGAATACAGTATGCAGTACTGTACTTCGTTCCAAATTTTCGGGAGTTGTCGCAATTTTGTCCGTTATTTGGCTTCTCATTCACTGATAGCCGCATTCGCCGAAGAAGACAATCGATTAAAAAAATAAAACGCTGAAAAAATTATATTTGCAGCTCGTATTTCAAGTCGTTGTTAGCTGGTGTAAAGAATATTGAATTCACATTTGAATGTGCTGGAAGATTCTCATTCTGATGGGGGGATGAAAACATCTCATTACATTACGCGGAAATTCTGAGATATTAATCCAAGAAAAAATTTCATTGCGAACATTTCGAAAACCTTTCTTTTTATGTAGGATTCCGACATAGTCGTTTGGGATCTTGTGAAAGAAAGTGGACTATTTCGTTTGAAAGGACACAAAGGTCCGATCACTGGCTTGAAGTTTTTCCCCGGTTTCCGGCAACTATGGAAAAATGCCGACCCAGACGAGAAACTGGATGCTGTGGACGAAAGGAAGCTGCTCGCCTCTTCAGGGAAGGATGGAATGATGAAATTCTGGGATCTGGGCACTCGACATTGTTGCTTTACGTTAGCTGTTCCTGCCACAGAGGTAAGAAAATCAGGAATTGCCTTTGATTTCAGCGCTAGTCTCCCGTGTGTTAGGCTACTTTTAATGCGATAAGCCCAAGAAGCGTTCTTGTGATTTTTGGGCCGATCCTTCCGACAAATAGTAAGCACAACCCAAACCTTGAAGCCTGCAGTATAAAATAAAATAATAATAATAATAATAAACCCCAGAGCGTGGGCTTGAATTTTTGAACTAGGTAGATGCCGAATTCAACGCTCTCTCCCCTCAAAAATGAAGAAGTGGCAAGGTTATAATAGCCATGGTGAGAAGCTTTAAAAAAAAGAATGCAGCAGGCTCTACAGTCTACAATGATTTCATGTGTACAGGTATAACGATTTTGTTGGGTACAATTGGGGTTCTCCCTTAACAATTTTTTCTGGTCCCTGGATTTCGTTGAGTCCACATGTTCAGGATGAACTCAGTAGGAAAAAAAAACTCATCAATTCACCGTTCTTCAACTTGGAATGTCGGAAAATAGGTTTTTATCGCTCACTACCCATCGTTTTTTCGCGAGGTTTGCCTTGAGAAGTGCTGGACGAAAAGTTGTTGTTTGTAAACCTGGAAATAAAGTTATTTAAAAGCCGTTTAACAGATACAGTATCATCGAACGGTGTTGAGCTTAAATTGTCTATGAAGCAGTGCAACAGTTATCAATTGCGTTGCCTGCGTGTTTTTATTTAGATATATTGCTTTGAATTCATCGGACCCAGTTTGACGAATCGAAACGCCATTCGATTTCTGGTCGGCTCAGCTCAAACCGAGGTCGGTGTTTGGGAGGCTACGGAAGTAGACCGGTCAACGCGGCAGTCAACGATGACGAACGGTGCAACCGAGAATTTAGACGATTTGGAAAATGAAGGAAAGTGGTTTAGAACGGAAAGAATTGGTTCCATTATTCGCGGAACGAAAGGCAGAACGACGTTCCTAAGTTTCATGCCATCAACGCGAATGTTGCTTGTGGCGGGGCAAGACCGCAAAATTGAAGTGTTCCGCGTGTGTGCGGAAGCTGAATGTAAGAAACGGTTGAAAAAGCGAATGAAGAAGGCTGCGGAACGAGATGGAGGAGTTGTGGAAGAGGTTACTTTGGATGGCGTCGGACTAGTTGACCAGATCGTTCGAAGAAACGAAGCCGCTGTAACTGCCCAAGGAAGAATAAAGTGTTTTTCAGCGGCAGAAGTGGTAGACAAGAAGGCTGGAAATTGCATTAAGGTAGGAAAATTATTCTCAGTGGATGTGTTTATTTGAATGCCATGTTCCAGTACAGGATATTTTATCCCTTAAAAATGTGTGCGAGAATGATCTGTTTATTTATTTATTTTTTTATATCAGTGCTATACTTCGAACTGCTATGAAAATTCAGTCCCTAGTTTTTTTGTCGTTACTCGTTCAGCATGCATTACGTTGAATTTCATTTAGTAATTTTGTTGGTTCACCGCTATCCCAGATTATTTACATTTTTTTGTGGCAACCCTTTCAGTTTTCTGTGACAATTATTTTTTTCATCATCTTGCGGTAGGTTGTGTGCGGATTGGCAAACAATGCTATACAGTCCTTCCTGTTGAATCCTGAACAAGCTAGTCTCAAAGGAAGCAAGTCTTCTGGAGCTGTCAAAACTATAGGGAAAATCGAGAAGCATGGCCATAGAACGGACGTTCGAGTTCTCGACTATTCTTCGGACAGCACAGGATTGATGTCCGCATCTTCCGAGGCTGTCAAAATTTGGGTCAAGTACGTATCGACGTTTCAAGTTCGCTAATTATTTTTCCAGGTTCCCTCTAGTGAAGTATTTATCAAATATGATTTTGAATTAATAGGAATACGGACGGATTACTTGCTGTCGCGCGAACTATCCCGTGTCGATACGCAGTTTGTGGAACTTTTTTACCTGGTGATCGCCACATCGTCCTTGGAACAAAGCCGGGTTACGTTCAATTATTCGATGTGGCCGGTGGCCAGATGTTGGAAGAAATTTCTACTGCTGGTGAAAACTCGACAGGAGAAGTCGCAATATGTTCTATTGGCCTCACACCGGACAAGGTTTGCTTCTTGAGATCATCTGTAATGTACTGTATATATATGTACTGTATATAAACTATATATATATATATATGTGTGTGTGTGTGTGTACTTCGCGTCTTTACGGAATACCGTGGCTTTCTAGCTCCCATGAAAAGTGAAACGCGGCTTCCAACAAAAGAGTAGGATCCGGGAGAATTTCAAAACTGTTAATTTTGGATCAGTTTTTTTTTTTTTTCGGAGAAAAGAAGTACAGTGTGTGAAATCCAGGCGATCCATTCAACAACTTTCGAAAACCTGAAACGCGGAAAAAATCTAACGGTTATTGCCCTTTGTAGCAATTGCATTTCTGAGATTTCAGATGGATGATAAATTCGTAAACTAATGTTTTCTGACTAATCTCGCGAGCCATACATTTTCCGTATTTCGAATATTTCTCTGGTTGGTTTTGGGTATTCCCGCCCTAATCCAATTTATTTTTTCAGAAAGGATTCGTTACTGGCGGGGAAACAAAAACAGTCCAAATTTGGGAGCTGGAATATTACTCGGCCGAAGGATCTAAGCGGCTGAGTTTCCTTCACAAGAAATCTTTGGTCATGGAAGAGTCAATTCTAGTAGTGAAATATTCTCCTGATGGAAAATTCCTCGCTGTTGCCTGTCTGGATTCCTCCGTCAAGTTATTTTTCGCGGATACGTTAAAGGTGATTTTGACTAAAGTTGATTTTAAAAAGGAAAAAGAAAATAATTATCATGTCGAACTGTTATTAGTTCCATCTTACGCTTTATGGACACAAACTTCCAGTGCTGGGCCTCGACATTAGTTCAGACTCCAGACTAATCGTAACTGCGAGCTCCGACAGAACCATCAAAATTTGGGGAATGGACTTCGGTGACTGTCACAAAACGCTTCTTGGTCATGCGGATTCCGTGATGGCTGTCAAGTTCCTTCCTCCATCAACTCATCACATATTTTCCGCATCTCGTGACGGAAAAATTAAGTACTGGGACGCTGACAATTTCCAGCTGATCTCCACGATAAAGGTACAGTACTCAAAACCCTGTACGCAATTACGTTCTTCCTGAAGTCATGTTTCGCTAGATCAAGGGTTTTAAAGATGAAGTTGAATGCGCCTTTTGCAGTTTTATTCTGAGCTTCTATCCTGTGTTCATTTTTGACTTGAACTTCATTCGTTACATCGTTTCTTCCCAGAAGTCGTGTGCTATTATTGAATGTCAATCTTGCAGCTCGATTTCATGCAGAACCTCAAGAGGACATAGAACTTTTCTTTTCTTTTTTTACTATACGAAGCGATCAGTGCTTATTATAAAGAGTAGATTCGTTCTTTCGCTTTCTTCTTTCACAGTGGTCACTACTAAATTCGAATGATAATTTTATCAACCCACACCCACTTCAGGGTAAAAAGGTTAGGCATGGCACTTCAGGTAGGGTAGGGTTTTAAGACGATTTCGTTGGATTTTTGGCTGTAGTACACTATTACTATTACTCAGCATCAGATTTGGTGTTACCGTAATTAATAGCCTATTTTGATTAGGTCAGCTGATTACCCTTGTCACATTGACGGTACATGGACAGTTTTGAGAAATAGGGCAGAAGCAAGAAAACCAAGGAAATAAGTAAAACTGCGGAAATCGAATTGGAATTTTGCAGGGGTGAGACTAATATTTTAATTTTCTTTGTGACCGAAGCGTAGCTGGTCAAGATATCGTTGTAAATGATTTTAATGTGGATTTTTGTTGTTGATCGAAATGCTCTTCGCTTCAGCTATATCTCTCCTGTTTCATTTCACAATTTTGCTTTTACTTCATAATTTTTTTTTCAACGTATAGGGTAACTTGGGCGAAATCTGGGCTTTGTCGACAAGCCCCGACGGTCTGCAAGTGGCGAGCAGTAGCAGAGACGGTTCTATTCGAGTGTGGGAGAAGTCACAAGAAATTATCGTGTTGCAAGATGAGCGCGAGGAGGAATTGGCTGAGGATGAAAAGAATGATGTGGAAGGTGATTTGGCACGTGAAACGATGAATGCAACTGCTGCAGCAGGCGAAACAAATCGAGAATCTGGACTAGCCAGCTTCATAACATTGAACGGCGAAGAAGCGGTGAGTAAATTTAATTCGAAGTAAAATACTTTGACGGATTTCAGTCAGACGGGCATTGAAGCATTATGTTTTGTTTTAGTTATATTGATTTACAACCTTGTAAGTCATTCTGTTTCCAATCGTCAAAAGAATATTAAGATTGGCCTCTGTCAAGCCTGGATTCAAAAGAAATAACTGTTCGCGTAAAGGGCGATGTGGAATTCAACATGACCCTCATCGTATCTATGCAAGTACAGTAGTTCGTATCATCAAAAAAAGTATCTGTCTCGATGGTTTCTTTCGTTCATTTTTGATTAACCTGGAAACTCAGTAGTTCTTCATTTGGTTATCCCTTTGCAAGCAAAAATTCAAGTGTATACTGTATTCCTTTAGATTTACTGGAATAAAAGATCCTTATGTGGCATGAGAAAGAGCGAAACATCAACACCCGAACATGAACTAAGTAGTGTTTTATACTGTGTTTGACACGCACAGATCATTGACGAGAAATGAAAACCATCGGAAAGAATCACTGCACTGCTATGTTATTGTTTCTCCCATTGTCGTGAATGAAAGACTCCCTTCAAATAATCGCGGCTGGGATACTTTTCGCTGCCATAATTACGAGGAGGGCCTGTCAATTCCTTAATTTCTTTCTGATTCATTTTTTTCTATGACTACGGCAAGTTCAATCCTCATATCACTCGCAATCTTTCATTCCAGTGCGCACGTTTGATAGAGGCGGTCAAAGTTGTTGAAGAAATTCTCCCTGAATGGAAGAAAGCCCTCCGAAAAGCGAATAATGGACAGAAGCTCACGTCTGTTGGTTTCGAACCTCACCCGATTATGGTGGCATTGCGAACTGAAGAAGATCCGTATGGAATGCTGATGGAGACGATTGCCCGAATACCTTCGTCGTAAGTTCCTGTTTTCCTTTATTTTCAGGGTGGCTTTCTTTAGAAATATTTTTGAAACGCAGACATGTGGAAGAATGCCTGACTTTGCTACCTTACGAGTATGCACGAATGCTCATTGAGATGCTGCAGGTTGTCATTCGTCGATGGTATTGGTTTGGTGAGAAAGAGCTGGAGCGATTGGATGACAAAGGCTGCGTGAGGAAACGGAAGTTCAAAAATTACGTGGAGTATGCCGAAGCGGTTTTACGTTGCTTACATTTTCTCACGAGAATCCAGCACGGTCGTATTTTTGTGGACGGGGAACTGATCCGGTCAACAATGTGTTTGCTGTCAGCCGATTTGAACCGCTGGTCTGATGCCGCAAATGTGAGTCCATAATTTCATGAATTCGAACCAATAAAAAAATGTATTTCAATTGCGATATACAGTAGAGTTGTTTCATTCATGTTCACGTACTCGTGCAAATGTGAGATTGCGCGACTCACAAATCTTAATTGAAAGAGCATCTGGTGTCTTTTGTGCTCTTGTCCGAAATTTTTGAGAATTATTTTCAACGATTCTGTTCTGTGTTGCGTACATGATTTATTTCACTGCAAAGAGAATTATGGTTAGTCGTTATTGGTAGATTTGTATCACAGCACCGTGCATTTGAGGATATCTTCGTCGATGTTCTTTATTTTCGAGATGTCTGTTCAACCCATATATTCCCTCTGAATGACGTAGCATACAAATTTCCGATTTTGTAATGAAAGGGCCTAAAAGTTATCCCTTTTTTCGAAAAAAAAAAAGTTGTAGTCTAATTTCTGACCTTTATAAATTTAAAGGTCAGACTAGTACACGCGAAAACCAACTAAGAAAGAATTGCGATTACGACAAAATTCTGAAACCCCCGAACTCGGCAGTAAAATTTAAGGAAATTCCATCCTATTTACCCTGTACCCCTGGTGATAGGTTTGCCTCCAATTGAACCGACAGCCGCTTCGAATATTTACCGCATCCTCACACGAGAACAGTTCAAGGACAACGCAAACAACCGTTAAATCTGCTACCTTATTCCGATTGACCTTCTTGTCAGCAGGCATGGCGTGAGAAATCACAGCGGCATTTTGTTGATTTCAACTTTTCTTCCTCAAATACCCTCCATCATCAAAATTTTGTTCGCTTGAATTCATGCGACTGTTTTCGCTTCGTCCAAGAAATTTTTATATTTTGGAGTCGATACCACAGCCTCTTGAATTCGTCATTGAAATTATCTGTGTGACGGACGGAAAATCTGAAGCTCTTTCAGATCCATGGTTTCGTACAGTATATTTTCGTGAATACCGTTGCAATTTCGCTTTGGGCAAGTTGGAATGACTTGGGAATCAACCGTTGCTGTCTGTCTTGCAGACATGACAAAAATTATTTTTAAAACATTGCTCCGATCGAACGTGTTTTGTTCTATTGTTATTCAATTTTTTCTATTTTTATTGCAGGATATGGTTGGATTCAACTTAGCCGGCCTCGAGGCCTTGGAATCACAGCTAAGAGCTGCCGAAGAAGCGGATATATTTGAAGAATCCTTCAGTCGTAGCAGTTCGAAGAAGAAGAATCGGAAACGACAACGCAGATTACTGGAAGTTCAACAAGCTGTCATGTCTTTGAGTTGATGTTGAATGAAGACACTTTGTTGACGTGTGTTTTCAATTTTAATTTACTGTAATCGTCAAACTTCATGGGGATCGCACATTAGTATTTACGCGTACAGTTACATACTGTATACAAATGCTTGTATAGGACTTACTGCTAAATAGTGAAGTGTCCTACAAATGCTATAATATTACGATTGATACGATCTTTTTTGAAATTCTCCGTTTTTCAAAACATTTCATCGACAATGACTGGTTCAGCATCATGAAAACGTGAAACTTTTGAGATTATCTCTTTCAAATACAGTAAAGCCATTGTTTGTTGTAACTTCATGGGGAAAATATTCATTACAATGCCAAAAAATTGATGATCAGCTATATTTTTACGATCATCACGCAAGGATGACCTGCATGATGTACCATTAATAATCGAACTGCCATGTGTGGATAGAAAAGATATGTTTAGGGCAATCTGATACATGTCTGGAGAAAAATTTTAATTGTTATTCCGTTCAAAGAACTGGGATTACATAGTGAACTACCGTGTGCATTATAACTTGCCGGAGTACAAATGACTGGGTCCAGTCATGTCGTACACATGCAAGCATACATTTATACATATAAATATATACTGATGTGTAGGTTTAGAAGGTACCATATTTTATGCTGTTCTGGAGAAAGAATATGAAGTTCGATTTACCCTTCATCCGGAAAGCTTTTAGCCGCATGAACGATTTTCAGGTGCGAAAACTAACCGTGGCGTTGGTTGTTTTTTTTTCGAACAATGACTCATCATTGATACCGCCGCACAGGCTAAAAGGTGAGATCTGAAAACAACGGAATCAGTACTGCATCCGGAATGGTAGGTTCACCTCAGGACTAGACTGTAAATGGTCAAGATCCAGCTAGAACATGTCCTTAGAAGTGGTTACTGAAAATGAATTCCTGTGGCCTAAAGGCCAATTACATTACATAATGTTGTGGTAACCGGGACTCTTCAACGCGCGGCTCACTCAGAGCCTATCCAATCAGGGCTTCAACGCCAGTGCTACTCTTTCTGAAACACGCTGGCTTTCATCGAGTTTAACTTCAGCTACCATGATTGATGCTTTAAATTCTGGGAAGACTTCCTGGGAAAAAAAAGGGCATGTATCATAGAAATATTCTAAATAACTAAACTACATTTTATACACGAATAACATGGCGCAAAATCAGCAAAAATATACAGAACTACTGCAAGTTCTGGAATTTAAAATGCATTGCACTTCGTGTACTGTTGTGCAGAACAGTACTGTAATGTATATTATTAGTACAGTACAATACTTACTGTATAGTTGTCATCCAACACCAATTTCAACATGAATTCTAAAGTCACTCATTCATGGGTTGGAGGTGACTACAATAAGGATAAATGAAGAACTCCTCCCTTTTCAGGAACACGACAGTTATTTATTTACAAGTCACACGTAACACACAGTAAGAAGTCAGGAGATGTTACGGTGAGGCACATTCTCGCCGGAGCCGGATCGCACGCCGTCAGAACTCCTCTCCCCTGTGCCCCCCATCCCCTCAAGCCCGGCACCCAACACTCTCTCTCCTGCGGTTGTGCATGAGTGACTTCAAGAATCGGAAATACCTTGCTTATTCAGGAATGGGTGTAGCAGGTATACTAACTACAGTCCTAAGAAAATGATTTGTCCATATATTTGTGAAATGATAAGATGGGTTGTTCCA